TAATTTGAAATAAAAATTCATAAAAATGCTATTAATTACTTGTCTCACGTTTATTATCTATCGTATTTATGTTTGTAGCCCATCTAAAAGGAAAAAAACGCCTTAATTGATTACACGTTGCTTTTAGAATTATTAAATATATGGTCTTAAAAATTTTTATCACCATTTTTCTCCTATTTACTGACGCACCATTGGTTTATATTTTTTTTTATAAAGTGGAAAATATTACTTTCGTTAGGTCGAAAGAAATTCCTGAAATGCACAAACATTTAATAAAGTATAACAATAATAGATAAACCAATTGAATGTCTCGAAACCCCCTTAACTTGCCAAAGAAGAAGAAAAAATGTATGAAGAAAAAAAAGCCACAACGAATGCACTAATCTATACAAAGTGGGAGAGGAGATATAAACTGCAGTAGTGGGGTATATTACCGCAGGTTAAAAGAGATGCAAGGGAAAAATGAAAAAAAATCGGGAAAAAGATAAATTTATAGCATTCAGTTACTTTATATACTTCAAATTTACTTGTGATCGTCTTTGCTCGAATCGCTTTTGGGGTGCGTATTAGTGCTAATATGACCTCCTCTTGATACTCTATCCTCTCAAAAAAAAAAATACAGTTTATTCTGCTTACACGATTAAAAATCATTCGAATTAACAAATCCGAATGCTACCCTATCGAGTCTCAGCGCGGTCTGTCGTACCAACACATCGGCTGCCGCCAGTATATCGTCACCGATCACGACCTCACGCTGCAGAGTTCGAATAGTCTTGTAGGCCATATGCCAAAAGCCAAACAACGCCATCAGGTCCTCACGCAGCGAAAAACACTCCGGGAAGATGTTTTCCAGTTCAGTAAGGCCCTCCTCGGGGTGGGTCATGGCGTAGAGCATGACGTGCCCGGCGCCGAATTCAATGGGCAGACCGAAGGGCAGCCGTTCAAGTACATCGTTGATGTCTGACAGGGGCATGTATGTGCGTCGGGTGCAGAAGGTCGCGATGGTGATAGACTCCATCAACTCACGTAAGGTGCGCGCCATAAGACGGCTGATCGCCCCGAATGCCGCCATCTCGGGATCAAAAGGGCCCGACCAGGTCCCATTGATGTTGATGGGGACTAGGGAAAGTAAACGGCACGCAAAGCGAACCCCCATCGAGTACTTGGCCTCCATATTTGTGCTTGTGGGTGTGATGTAAATCGGCATATCGTTCAGGGTTTTAGTGCGCAACATCTCTATCATCAACAGGGCGTATTCGCTCAGCGTATTACAAGTCACAAAGGCGAGCGCCTCGCTACACATCGACAGCTGGCTTTCCACCGGCAGCTCCGGCGGGGTCGTAATGAAGTGCGTAAAGTAGCCTAACTGGTCCATCGTCTTCAGCAGAACTGAGGCCGTTGTTTCCGCAATGTTGGTGTACATCGGCATTTGATCCTCGTCGCGGTAGGGAACCGATCGATTCACCATCTTCATGACATCCAAGAAGTACTGCTGCGGTGCTACAAGCAACCAGGACTCCCCGACAATATCCCACTCTTCAAGCTCCATATAGCGTGGCATGTGAATATCGGTCCACTTCTCATTTTGTAAGGCGGGGTTGCGATTTTGCATAAACGCACGATACCACATCGAAGGGGGTTGGAGGTTTCTGGCGACCTGGATCACATGCAGACAGCCATGCACACGCAGCGTGAGCACAGATCGCAAGGCTTGGCGATATGCCGCAGAGTCAATCAGCGGCCAGCGGTCAGCCAAAATACCCTGGGCGACGGGTGGGAAGAGATTAGGAGATACAACCCCACTAAAAAGACAGAAGTAGAGGGCCGTGGGCAACGGCGGCCCAAAAGCACGCGCGACCCGCAGACTGCTAAAAGGAGAGATGCCATATACCACGTAAAGGGGCTCTACCTTTCCCTCGCATGTGAACACGGGAGCATCTAGCAACGAAAAGTTACCTTGCATCAACCGAGTCGGCTCGTCATTTTCATCTTTGGTGAAGCTCTTTGCGAAGGCGTACCCACGGCCGCGCCCGTTAGGTAACACCTCAGAGGACGCAAGTCGTAATAAAATATCATCGCTGTCGTGGCCCAAAAAGCTCAGTCGGTAGGGCGTGCGCGTTGTGTCTGTCATAATCCAATACCCCAAATCGCGTTCCGTGAGGGGGGGATATTGTTTGTGAGGTGCCATTAAAGACCGCAGGTGCGAATTGACGGCATCTAGAACATCGCGCTTCTCCACTACGTCGAAGGTGCCGTCGATCGGGTCAACGTAGACAATGACACGATCTACACCAGGATAGGCGAGAAGCTCCAGGCTACCGTAAACCTCCGAGATGTAGCGATTCGTGGGGGAAAGAAAAGCCGAGAGCTGTGTCCAAGCGTAGTATGGCACACGGAAGACATCCTTCTTGAAAAGCGTCACGCATCGACGAACAAAGTATTGCTCCAGATCGCTATCTAGGTAAAAGCGCTCAGAAACCAGTTGTCGGATATGATTTGGTACCTGGGAGGTCGGCGTTGCGCCCGTGTACGACATCATTTCGTGAGGGGTAGATGGATGAGGGCCGTGAGCTGGATCCAATTGCGGGGACAGTGGAATTCCATCGAATACCAGGACGAGTTGAAAGTTCACCGCGCTATTCGACCCAGGAAGCCCGGAAGACGACGGAGACCCATCAGGTCGAACCGTCGCGGCGCCAGGCGCACCTTCGGAATGGTAACTGCCGCTGGGGAACTCACTCATCCCATTGGCGGCGGCGGCGCTGTCTTCAGGCTCTGTCGTCCGCGGGAGCTTCGCCACCGCGTCCCTAAGTTGCTCGAACTCATCCACGATGGCCTGCAGCTCGTCGTAGAAGCTGACTGGTGTGGTGACAGTGAACATCGCCATCGGATCGGCGCAGCGAATCGCATGGGTGACCCGCTGAAGGAGCATATTCCCATCTACGCCCATCTTCACCGTGTTCGTCCCGGGAAGCCGCCGAAGCTCGTGGATAGGGCGCTTCCGCCGGAGGAGGTTGTGCGAGGCGATGAGGCGCTCGAGGCCGGTCTCCTCCCGGGTGGTCGTATGGCCTGAGGCAAAAGGGTAGCCCGCGGCCCCTGCCGCGCCAGCCGGGGTGCAGTTCGGCATCGCCGAGTTTCCCGACAGGCTAGGGGAGCTGGTGAACTGGGTGTTGTTGGTCGCCGCGGAGACCGTCCGGGGCTTGGGTGGCTGAAACGGCAGCTGTCCCGCCGGCGGGGCGCAGTTGTTTAACGTGGTGGGTGAGCCGCGGTTGCTATCCATGGGCGTTGGGTAGGCGTTCTGGACGTTCGCGGCGGCGGTGACGCCTCGTGGAGGGGGCACCTGAATCCCAAGACCACCCCCGCTTCCCCCACCTCCACCATTACCAGGATTCAGGTGCGTTGGGCTCGGGTAGTGGTTGGAGGCATTAATCCCACGATAGGTCGTGTAGTGGCCATTCATGTTGTTGTTTCCATTACTTGTGTTGAAGCGAGGGCTATTGTCGGCTGTGAGATTCATATCGGAGGCTACTTTAGGGAAGGGCGAAGAGGTCGGTGACAAAACCTGCTGCCTCAGAGAGGCCTGAGAAGATGGCGGAGACTGTGTTTGCTGATGTTTTTGTTTGGTATAATTAGTCCTGTGGACTATGTTTCCGGTGCTGCTGCTTTGATTCCCTCTACGAAACATTACCTACAGGACTGAAGTAAACAATTAGTCACTACTCTTGTTTTCTTCTATTGACTCTTTTTCCAAGCTGCAGTATTCTAATATGAAAGGCAGAACAAGTAATGTTAATAAATTTTAAAAAAGGATAATACTCTCAAATTTTTATAATATTTTCCTTTATATTTTAGACCTGAGAGTTAAAATATACCTTCACCCTACTTACCCTTTTCTTTGTTGTTTCTTTTTTTCTAAGAAAAAAAGAAAGCAAAGAAACAAACGTTACTATTCTTTCGACCCTATGCGCAACCCTCGTTTCGTGTGTACAACAGAAAACGCAAATAAAAATAATATTAACTTAAAAAGCTCAATGTATCAAAAGGGAAAAATAGGAAACTATAATTATATATCGTTGTGATATATATATATATATATCCTTGAAGCAGAAGAAAGAGATAGAGAAACTGGGAGCTTTTTGATCGTAGAGAAAGATTGAAAAGGGATAAAAAAACGTAAGAAATGAAAAATAGTAATGAGTAGTGACTATTAATATGCTAAAAATCGAATTAGGGAAATGGACACTTCCCCAATTCTATAAGCCAAGTCTCCCTCTCTTATGTGATTTAGTGGTTTATAATAACAATAAAAAAAAAGATAAAAGGCGAAAAAAAAATATAAGAAAAACTATTTATCCTTTAAAAACAAGCTTTATGGGTCCTATATTCTTCTTTCCTTTCTCCCTTCCTTGGCTTATCTAGGGAAGCGGGGATTTTATTGTAGCAGTATTCAAGCTTTAGGTTATTTATCACACAATCTATTGTATTTATATAGAGTGTGGAGTTTTTTTTGTAGCAGCAACTTATATAATATTTACTTTACGCTTATACTTGCTATTGGCACTTCACCTTAAGGAGAAACCGCTTCAAGAAAAAAAAATTAATGCGTGTGTATTTTCTATTTTATTAATATAAATTAGATGGTTCTAAAATAATATAAATTAATGAAACTTAATATTTTTTTTATGAATTTGTAAATCCAAATGATCCTTCACTTTTATAGAAAAATCAATAAAACTATAAACCTTGGAAGAGAAGAATATCAATTGGAAGCATTGCTTGATGCTCATAAAGATAGGAAGCGTGCAGTTGCATTCAAAATAGCGTCATTAATTTTTTTTGGTTTAGGTATACGGTTCTAAGGTATTTATACACACATATATATCTATATCTATATTGTGTGTGTGAATTTGATTAACAGCAGAATAAACAATAAAAAAAATAATAAGTTCCATTAGGTTAAAAGGGAAAGAAAAGAAAAATACCATATCGACCTTTTTCTGTTATTGATGGTAATAATGCCCATAACCTTTGATTAGCTCTCGCATGAGTTCACTCCGGCTTCTCTTCGCACGCGACGGCGCCTGTGGTAGCCCCGATGCCGATTCGCAGGACTTTCGCGGTGAATATAACCCGGCGTCTGGAAGAAACCCCCCCGCCCCCTCTCCACAGGGATCCGCCATGGCCTCTCCCCCTCCCGTTGTCGTTGTCGGAGAAAGAGGAATAACCCCATAGGGCACCAGATGCAGCTCCATCACCTCGGTAATCTGAACCACGTAGTGCTGCATGATCGAAATGAGTTCCATCTGGGGGGACCCCGCTGTGGCCTGCCAGTCCAGCCCGTCGTGGGCCCGCCGCATGGCCTGGAAGACTGGATTGGGGACGACCCCCGAGCCGCGGCTGACCGCGACTCTGGTCTTCCTCGTGGAGTCGTAAAGGCAAGCCATGTCGTGCCCGACAACGAGGTGGCCCTCAACCCACCTCCTCTGTCGTTTGCTCCCCAATGGCTGGGAGAAGAGAACGGCAAAGCGAGACGCACCCTCTGCCCGGGAAGACCTGGTCCTCCCCCGCATTCTTAGCAGAAATGTAACAAAAAAAGGGGTCAAGACAGCGACACTAGACCCAGGGGCGGTAAACACCACTACCACCACACACACTGCCGCCTGTCGTCCTCTTTCATCGAAAAAGGAAAGATAAAAAAAGGGAGAGAGAAATGGAAAGGCGAGATTGAGAATACAAGATGGGTCAAGAAATGGCTCATCACATGCCCATAGGGGCGCTACCATGCGCCATAAGCATCTTGGGGAAATATGAATTATAAAAAGCGTATGGGGTATCTACCCACCCATATTCATTAGCTTATAGTTTCAGCAGTATATTTCTATTGATCCCACCATAACACATTAAATGCATTTTATATACCTACCCCACATTATATTTGCTTTCTTTTATATATTTCGTTGTGATCAAATAAATAGATACATTAGAAATACGGTAAAGTGAACGTTTGATATCTACGTCAGTACGGCAAGTTATGATATTTCTTCTTTTATATTGCACTACACAAATTTCGATTTTAGCTGAGTATTTCATTAGTAAAATGCCCAAACTGAGGTACTATAAGTCAATGGAAAAGGTTTATGATGTAAAGGAAGGATTATCTACATACAAAAAAAGGTATTTAGAAGAATTCTGCACTAAGAACTATTTTTTGATCTAAAATGCCTAATATTTGGACTATAGATTATATTTATTCATTGGTTTCAAAAAAAAAACGGAGGAGCATTTTCTAACATTTATTCATGGTTATTTGGAGTGAATTCACGTGAACATCCAAGGCATCCTTTTCGGGGATGAAACTCACTTTAACATCGGCTTTGTTCCTATCTACCTGCTTTCCAACGCAGGAATCTCGGTTCGTTAAGTCGGGTACATTCAAAGATTTATCATCAGCATTGTATATATAGTTTACATTCGAGCATCTCGTTTCCTCACTAAATTCGAGAAGGTAGAAATCAAAAGTATGTGCAGCGCTGTCAAATTTGACATTGCATTCGACGAGATGATGGCCATACATAGCGCAATACTTCCCATCAGGCTCAGGCAGCGCAATCTTCATGGTGGCATTAACCTCAGAAAAGCCAGATGAAGACTGCAGCAGTAGTAAAAGGAAAAGGATAAGTGTAATCATTATAAATGGGTTGCGGTGAGTATTACAAAACAGTACGCCCAGATTCAGATTGTTAAATAAGCCCATATTATCTCTTGACTTTTTTTCAGATTTAGTTTAAAATATTTCAACGTTCGGTAAATTTTTATACCTATGTAGTATGTGGTCAACCCTTTTATTGTTATTTATAAAGAATACTTAAGTATATTTCTATCATAGTTTACAGAAAGAAAATAAAGAAAAGTTCATCATATGTAAACATTAGATGTATATCTATACTTCAGATAAAACTGCAAAAGGGTAGATAATTGTAATGAACACGACGTCTCTTCTTTTTTCACCGCACTTAATACTGCATTACATTAGCTTCATTGCCTGAAGGAATTTAATTATAAGAAAAGGTTTACTGCGTAATAAATTCAAATAAAAAAAAACTCAAATTAAAAGGGAACATTTAAAAATCTTACATTTCAATAAAATCAAATGCTCGGAATTAAAAGGGCTAATTAAGTAAAGCAATTCACTTTTTAGTCGAAAGAGCTACCTGATGATGTTTATTAATAATCTTAATTTGGAAATAGAATAGTAAAAAAGCGCGTAAATAGTAAACCTCTTCTCAAAAAGGTAAAAATAACCATGTTTTGGAATGAAATATTTGATGTGATACACAAGATGGCTACCAAGAGAATCCAATAGTTACTGAAACATTGCTATTAATTTATCAGAAATACTACATTTCATGATTGAACTTATTCGTCGACAAGGATTCTCCTGAATAACAAAAAAAAATCACAGATTATTGTTGATTTATTGAATGCATTTATGGGTATACATGCTTGTGTTTCTTAATTTAATGATACTATATAAAGAATATCCTCAAGTATGAGTATATATTTTATTTGGTTTAAATATTATAAGAGAATCTACAAAACCAAACTCAAGCAGATATAGAAATAGAATACATTGATATAGTCTATATTATCCAGTCGACCATATACTTGCGTATTGAAAAGAAAATTTGTTATTATAAAGTAAAATAATGAAAATATGCCTTTTCTTTGTATATATAAAACAAAACAAAAAAAACTTCGGAAATGTAAAACATATCCTTGTAAAAAATGGCAAGTCCACCTTAGGAATGAAACTGGAAATATTTAGAAACTGCATGATAACATTATAAATTATTTCATGTTATAAGAACCTAAAGATAAAAGAAGTCATAATTATTCACTCAACTGTAATATATTCATTGCAGTACAATTTAAAAATGATCGTTCTTTTAATTGGAAATAAATATTTGAAAGGTGGGATGATTTTATTTGTGGTGGTATTAGAAGGTGATCTTTCCCACCATCATTAATTTTGTACAGGGAACAAGCCTAACTATAAAGATCACAAAGAGATAAAAGCTAATTTTTTTTTGAAGTTGTCTTCAGTGCAACTATACTGCTTAGGAAGATTAATATAAGGCAAGAAGTTCAAAAATGTTAGTTATAGATCTTATAGGCTATATTAAGTATCAATCAAGGAATAATATAGTGTTTTTTTAATCAGTCGAATTAACAGAATCACTTACGGTGTAGGATAGATTCAATTATAAATATTACTGTTATAATGTAAAATCCAATAAAAAGTCTTCTAAAGAGACATGCATGGATTTATATTTTAGATAAAAGATAAAATAAACATCAATAGTACTGTAGTTATAAAAATGAAAGACAAAAAACTGAAAGAAGTTTTTAAAATTCCAGACTTAATAATGAATATAAAATAAAATGTCTTTCTAGCTTTTTATACCTGTTGTCAACTAAACTGTAATATAATACAAATATACATTTGGTACTTTAAAAAAAATGAAGGTTTAGTTTTTTCTATTTGATATTGCTCAAAAAATGTTTGTACAAAAAAAACGTTCTTCACAATATGTAAGATATGGTTGAGTCAATTTTTATAATTGCAAACAACACACTGATGATCATGTTACGTGAGGACACACGTTGAATTTAGAACAACAAGACATATTCTCTAATACTAACTTTGTAAAGCCTTAAAAATATCTAATATAAACTTCGACCTCTGGTTTAAGATTCTGTTGGTTATTCTTTATTTTGGATGCGTATTTGTCTACGTGAGCATTCTTATTAATAAAAAAATGAACTATCTCACTGTGGCAAATTAAAAAACGATCGATTTTTGTGAGAAAAAGGGCATTGAATATCAGTTATTCGTTTTTTATTTGAGTACATCCTTTTGCGTATAACATTCTTTGTTAATCCAAAACTCTTATAACACGTTATGATCCAAGTTACACAAATCCTATGCAATAGACTTTGTAATGTTTGTGTTGAAATAGTCGAGATATTGGTTGGATAAATATATATTGACAACTTTATGATTGATACTTTAGAATACAACTTATCAACAGGACAAATAAAATTTACAAACTTGATTAAGTTAATTATAATGAAGGTGATGGGATAACTTTGATTCAAAGCTGTCTATTTTGTTAGAGTCAATCTGTCATTATAAGTATAAAGAAATTAAAAAAATGAATATTTTAATAATAATATTCAAAAATGAATTATTTTAAGTAAACTAATACTGAAAGATAAATTTGAAGATGGATTTTGTCTTTTATTAGGGTAATCAAAAGGAAAACTCCTGATACTTCCACTATACAAAGAGATAAAAATATATAATTCTTTGGTGCTCTGCAAAATAGAAAATATATTAGTTACTTGCCTCTATAACTTCTGTCCCTAACAGCTTTTCCATTTCAATAAGTTTACAATGTCTGCAACCTTATGCAATAAAATACTAAATCTAAAAGGAAATACAACCAAAATATATAATTAAATCCTGAAGTACAGTGTGCGAAAAGTAACTTAATGAATTCTTAAATGACCTTAAAAGTAAAATAAAAAACAAGAACCAATAACACTTGTTTCCTATTTTAGACAATATATCATTTCCCACCTTATACTAGGTGCTGGCTTGGTGGTAAACATAAGAAAAAAAGAAAGTTACAGAGGAAATATGTTATACTTTATCAATGCGATGGAAAATGTAAAATAAGCGTACAAAAGTTCTGAGTTCCGCCATCTTAAAACATCAAAAACGGGGTGTTAAACAAGGAAAAGAACCCCCAGAGATAAAGCGCACACAAAGAAAGATATCATAAACGTTCGCCATAAATAATGATTTAAGGGAAACACAAGTAAAAATGCACCATAACCCTTAATAAAATAGAAAATAAACGTTTAATCCAAAACAGGTTTAAACCCAAGGGAAATTGTATTAAACCATACCCCCCCCCCCCCTCTGTTGTCAGAATCGAGGTCCAATGTGATAATTCGAACGGGCGTAAATGAAAATAACCAAAAATCCCCCGCTATCCCCCCACGACCATTCAAATATTTGAAAACATTAAGAAAGAGTACATAGCTCTAAAAAATGAACTTGGTCTGCGACTTGGATTTTTAAAAACTCAGAATATTGCAAACATAATGTTTTATGGGGGTTTGATGGTTTTTTTTTCGGGGGCTTGGACCCCCCCAGGGCCAACATTTTCCAAAAAGAAACAAAAACATAAATTTGCCCACCCCCGAAATCAATTCTCAAAAACGCCATTCTTAGAAAATGAAACTGCCATTTTTAGAGAAAAAAAATATTTACCCCATACGATAACCATGAATTTTTGATAACAGAGCCAGTGACCTTGAATGTCATTCGGGGGAACTCATTTTTTGGATTTTCGAGTCGAAATTGGAAAAAATATAAGCCCAAAAAATGGAAACCGGCCAGGGGGGCGATGAAATGAAAAATAAAACGCAAAAAATAATTAAAAAAATCCAAACCCATGGAAATAAAACAAAACAACTGCGAAAAAAAAAATGCAACATCACCACCCCAATTAAAAACACCAAAAATCCCCAAATTTAAACCCAAACAAATGCGCCAAGATTTCGCATAATGAAATCGAATAAACTAAAGCACAGGGTTAAGAAAATCCAACCAACCAAAACGCCGGAATCCCAACAAAAAGAGGGCAAAATACCCACCCACCACATATTCCCAAATGGCTTAAAAAAAGCCAAACATCCCCATAATTAAAACCAGGCCCTGGCGAATGATAAGTCACACGCCAAAAACCAAATTACGTATGCCTTCCCGAAAATGAAAATATATTCCAAAATAAAATATTATTCCAAATCCCCCTCAAACAATTTCAAAAAAAGAATCGAATCAGCGATGGGCAAAAATGAAACCTGATACGGGGAAAGGGGGGACGGACAAGCCCAAAACACACCTTGAATCACGGCAAAAACGGGCCTTTTTTTTTGGGAGGGGGGGGGGCGGGGCTTTTCGCCGGGGCCAGATGGAAACCAAACCCGCCCCTGAACTGATAATTTTGGAGAAAGGCATGCTGACAAAGGAAAGGGCGTCCCTCTACTCATTTTAAATTCGGCGAGGGGCAAATCCCCCCTCCCCACACACACACGCAAACGCTTACCGAACAGGCCGCCCACCCCTAAATTGCCGAGCTGCCAAAAACACAAACACACGGAAAACCATTAAATCCTAAATTTTCACTTCCTTTCTTTGCAAAGACTCTTGAATTTTATCCCAATTGTAATTTTTATATTTCCAAAGAAATCGCTTTGACCGATTTAATACTTCCATTTCAAGCATTATCCAAACTTTTTTTTTTATCACGTTCCAAAACAAAAACCCAAACTGGCACGCAACATCTTTTTACACCCTTCCAAACTTTTTACCCCAGGGCCCCCTCATAGTTCAAAAAGGCCTCTGGACCAATGGCCCGCGCTGAGGCCCAATGGCCCACAGAAATGCCGAACAATGCCGAACCTGGAAGCCATTTCGTTGAGTAGTTTCGCCGAACAAAATCCCCAAACTATTTTTAACAAAAGCTTTGACAGATAATAGAAACGAAGAATTGCTCACAGTTACCGTTTGGCGAAAACAACGGCACCCAGTAAATAAGACGAAGCCTAGGAGTTTAAACCTTGTAGGCGCTGTCCCGTGGGTGGTTTTCTTTCTTTTGCTTGGACTGAAAGTCCTTGAAAAAAATGGTGCGCCCCCTGAACCCTTCACAGTCTCCATCTGCAGGGCCAATCAGCACCGCACTGTTCAATATCCCATCCGCCGAACCATCGCTGTTCAGGAGCGTTTCCACTTCACTCCGGCCTCCATCGTGCGGGAGGAGGTCGCGAATACGCCGGGAAAGACACTCTACCTATCACAGGGGAACACAGTGATAGAAAAATGAGAACCACTCGCACAAAACGCGCTATTTCGTCAGAACCCCCTCTCCCTTGGCTTCCTCCCCCTCCCCCCCCCCCCCCAAACCTCGAAGAATCCCAGAACGGTTTATTTCCTTCCCCCGCGAAGACGTTGCGGGAGTTTTGGGGGGTCTCCCGACTCCCCTCACCCTTACGATTTCTTTCATGAATCGCATTGCGGGGACGATTCCAAAGTTGAGTCCGCCCTCGAGCTTTGGGTGCTCGCGAGGGGTCGGTCTTGTCTGAGCTCATGCGCCGACCACAGGAAATCCGGCCGTCTCGCGCCAACATCTGCAGCTTCGGAAAGGGGATGAGGGCCTTTGAGGCGGACTCGGGGGTGGCCTTAGGGAAGTCGAAATGGAGGACCATCGTCCGTGGCATGCGGACCTCCTCCCCTTTCTTTTCCAGCTGTAATAGGACCGTACAGAAGCTGTGCCTTCATTGAAAAATAGAGGGGAGTTTGCAGTTTGCATTCCAACATTTGCCACCAATCGCGACCTGAAAGATGGGTAGTTCAGAGCCCGAAAAGGTGGATTGAGGGTTCACTGGTTTATTTAAGATTGCCCCGGTAGACTGGTCGTGTCGACTCGGGGTGCGGGGGAGGGGGAAATAAAGAACCGTAAAAGGAATTACTGGAAACAGAAATTACTTTTCAAGACCACACAATCGGAGTACCCATTTGAAAGGAAAGAAAAAGGGTGGAAGAAGTCGTCGGCACGAAAGCTCTACTAATGAAATTCTTTCTAAATGACCCCTTTGTTTTTTTTGAAGAAGCATTCATTTATTGTTGTTTAAAGCCCCAGCACTGGAAGAAAAGGGGTACAGCAAACGCTTCCGTAGGTGTATACTAATTTATTCAAAAATATGTAATCGTTCGATAAAACGCGCACAATTTCATTCGTTTCATATATATATATACCGATGAGCTAAAAAGAAATGAATCATTTTAATAATTTAATCCCCCAAACACTCAAAAAGTAATGCGGGTTACCATAAACCTTTCTTAACAGTGAGCAGCTAAATATCCCGAAACTGCGCGATATCCATTCCCATATCGGAAGGGGCAAATTTATACGGGATCAACTCCGCCAAGAGCATCACCTTCGCGTGCTGACGATCCCGAGAGACCAGCACCACCTCAAAACTGTCGTGATTCCCTGAGAGATCGGCCACCTCGACGAGAAGTTGCCTGCATAGACCGCAGGGCATACAAAACCCCTCCGCCGCATCCCCAGATAAAGCCGAGGTTGAGGGAATCGTAGAATGGGAATAATTATCTGAAGGCGAATTGGCGGTATCCGCGGGGGTGGGGGGCCGGAGAGAAGGAGCGCCGTAGATGGCGATCGCCCTCGCGGTGCGGTGACCCTCGACGTTTGCCCGCACAATCGCGCAGCGCTCCGCACAGCAGGACTGGTAAGTGCAATTTTCGTAATTACACCCCGTCGTGATTTCGCCATCCGCGTGCAAAAGGGCGGCCCCGACGGCGAAATGGGAATAGGGCATATAACTTCGCAATCTCGCATCGATCGCCCCCTGCACGGCCGCCTCGAGCCCGCGCGGGAGCTGGCAGAGCTGAAGGAGTTGATTGCGCACGCACCCCCCCCCGGCGGTGGTGCTTTTCATTCTTGAATTACGCGTTTGAGGATATGGATATCTTTTTAAAAGATTGAGGTCGATAAAGTGGGGTGAGACTTGTGTGTGACACTCTGTTTAAGGTTCGTGATCAACCTGATCGGGTGGGTAATCAATACGATTATACTGACAGAAGGTTGACAATAAAAGTGAATTTATGAAGGAGGAGAAGAATACAATTAAGTTGGATCATAGTTTTGCGTGTCGATAAATTTTATTCAAAAAATAAAAAACGACCCTCACTCGACTACACCGTGCAGTAACAGAAAAATCTAATAAAATAAAACTAAAGAAACATCTCAGGCCGCGTGGACAGAAGACGATCGTGAAAGGGATAATAAAAAGGATAAAGTGCACCCCCTTTTCGCTTTCTATTCACTCTCTGTGTTTACCAAAAGGTATGCCATTAAATATACATTGAATGTTATGCATGAACGCATTCTTCTCGTATATGACATGTGGTATTTTATACCTTTTGTGGTTATTTAGTCAACGTTATGGACTGAAGTCTTTTTCACGACACAAAAAGCTTCATACACAACTCTGATGAATAGGCAAAAAGAAAACATTAAACAGTAATCACAATAATAAGTTAGACTTACAGGTGCACATAAAACAATGGAAAAAAGGAGCGAAAATAAAGTATGAACACACTTCCACATGGTATTCAATTAGTATCCCTACTCATTTCATATTAAAATGGTGAGGTTTTCCCCAAGTTGTGAGGCTTCTCATTGTCGTTGTCATTATCGTCTTGTCGTTATCTCGCTCCGGAAGGTATGGTAGACGGCTGCAAGTGATCTTTAGTATACGGACTAAATCCCATCGTCCTTAGTGTATCCCAATGGGATGTCATAATGTTATGAATAAAGACCAAAAGAGTATAGCGCGAAACTATAAAAGATGGGACAGGCGATGCCTCCGTGACGATGCCCTCCTCTCCCTCAGTTATTCTATAAAAAGAAGAAGAAGGAGGAGAAGCCTTGCCTTCTTCCACAGATAAGGCGTTCTTTTCAAACCCCTTTTCAAATGATTCGGTGGCGCCAAATCCACGGCAGCGATGACGGCTAATCAGCTCAAGCGCAACACGTCGCCTCGCCGACTCCACCACCGCCGCTCCTTTTATCGTTTTCACCGCCGCCGCAGTGCTCAGGCTGAGTGCAGCCTCCACCTCTTTTGCCGACTTGAGGTGCAAAGCTCGACAGAATTCCCAAAAAGACAATGATAAGATCTCTTCGCCACCGAAGAAGTCATATACCGCCGCCACCTCCTGTAATGTTACCCAACCGCGGCGATGAAGACGCGTGAAATCCGCTGCCCTCTCCACGAGCAGCGCGTTAAACAACTTTTCTTCTTTTTCTTCCATTCCTGCGTCTTTCGTTTTTGTTTGACAATAATAATCGACAGCGCGGCGGCGAGAAAGCTCCCGTTGGTACAACAGCCTCAGTACCCACCGCGCGAAGTGAACCCCGGCGAAGAGGTCCCCCTGTTCAGGAGAGATCTCAAGATCAAAAGGTAGAATATTCTCATCTGTGTGTAATGCAGCCTCCCCAACGGTCGACTTCGGAGACTTTTCCTTTACATCGAACTCGTCAAAAAACATCAAAATCAAAAGCACCAGCGACTGACGGCGGAAGCGTTTTACATCACTACTGTTATCTCCTTCTTCTGCGTAGTGGGAAAAATACACCCGAGAAAGACGCTGCCCTTCCCATTGGCATCGTCGCCAGCACTCCAGCACGGCATACGCCTGCAAGAGTTCCCTATTATCCACGTTATTATTATTAATAGTGTAGGCATTTTCTCCCCTTTTCTTCCATTCCGCTTGTTTCGTGGCCGCCCACGTCGTAAAACGGGTGATATCCTCGCGGCTAAAGCGGCCGTCGCCGTCGCCATCCATCACGTAAAACAGCGGAAGGCGGGGCATTGCAGAAAATAACCCCGGCAAAGATGGCAGCGCGTGGGAAAAAAATTCGTCTTTTTCGGCAGGCGGCGAAGCCATCATCCGGTCAGATCGCGGTGATGACGGCGCTGAGGCGACCGCCCGCTTGGCAGAATCACGATATAATTTACCGGAAATGTTGTTAAAAAGGCGGCTAGAGTGGCTATGCGGGGGGTTATGGTGGGATTGAGGAGGTGCAGAGGAAGATTTATGGGAACGTACGAAGTCCTCACCATTCTCCACGCTTTGGTGACGAAAATCAGCTTTGTCGAGCGTAGCTTGCATGGCAAAATCAGCATATGGGGCTGCCTGTTTTATGATTTGACTTCCTCTTCCTTCGCACACTTCAAACGCAACGAAATTGTTGAAAGGAAGAATCCTCAACTCTTTCACTACAGAATGAATATGAAAAACGGGGATAAGGAAACTTAGGGATCAGGAAACGCGTCCAATGGCACAAACTCGGTAGCTGTGAATATTGAAAAGAATACTATATAAAGAGAAAAGACTTAGACTTTTTCAGAAAAAAAACTGAATCTTACACAAGAAATTATTAACAATAAGCTATTGATTCCATTCAATCACCAAAAAGCACATGTATCTAACATGCTTATCGTAGCCTGTATGGTTGCACTTTGTGCATGCTGAAAATACAGAAAAAAAAGGGAGATAAAACCCGAAAGTTGAATTAAAAAGTTAACACATGGTACATTGTATCCGGTATTTCTCCCCACTCTTTTTGATAACGGTAAAACATTCGGTTTGTGTTCTTTTCAACTCATCGTTTTGTTCTCAGCTCCCTTGTGAAAAATACACAAATACAACAAAGCAGAATGACAAAAGCAAGTAATCAACATAATATGTGGCGTTAAGAAAAGCGGAAAGGGTGGCAAATCACAGCCATGTATGCTTCCACTCGTAGAGACCCTCTCTCTCTCTCTCTCTCTCTCTCTCTTCTCCTCCCC